TTTTTTTGTATTTAATGACCGGAACTATTGAAAATTGTTGCAAAGAGCTCTAGAACTTTTCAAGAGAGTAGCAATTGTAGAATGGGCTTAAAGGGACGTCTACATTGGAAGTAAGCAGTAAGAAGTAGGAAGTAAGAATAAGAAATTGACCAATCATAGTTGATTATTCTTCTCACATTCGACTATGGTTGGTCAATTTCTTACTTTTACTTCCTACTTACTTCTAATGTAGACGTCCCTTAAGGGCCGTGCACACAGAAAAATTTAAGCAGTAAGCAAATTGACCAATCACAGTTGTTGATTCTTGGACTGTAAGAAGAATCAATGACTGTGATTGGTCAATTTGCTTACTGCTTACGTTTTACTGTTTAAGTTTTTCTATGTGCCATCAGCTTAAAGAGCAGGAGCAAGAGCAGACCATAGAATATTACAGTTATAGATGGGAGATTATACTATTCTCTCGAATCTAGATCTCACTCGCTCTACTCTCGTTAACGTAAGCACTCTGCAAGTCCTTTTTTAGTGTAGAATAGTGTAGATGAGCGTACCATCTCCAGGCGCATTCATCTACACTTGTCTACACTCAAAGGACTCATTTAATGAACACCAGTGTACCATCATGAGCATAAGAAGCCTTGACGCCCGCAACCAATCAGAAGAGAGGGGTCACCTAATAGAGTTTGCCACTCTCTTCCTATGAGGCTCTTTATTCATTGGTTTGGTTTACATCGTGCACTTGATATGCGTACTAAATAGTAACTTTCTAGATAATGTTATATCAACGATATATATAAACAGCAGTATATTAAACTGGTATAATACTCATCAACAAAACGTATTGCATTGATTGAATGCGTCGCTGTTGATATGCATTGTCGATATTAAGATTACCTAGGGTGTTTACGATAATTCGAGTTAGAGTTAGTACGAATTAGTTTCACTAGGGCTGAAAAATATGATAGTCACAAGCATCTAGTATTTTCATGATTCATGACAACTCAATGCTGTCCGATAAATCGAGTAGAGTAGAGTAGAGTAGAGTTAGGGTAACATAGTGGATAGTATATGTATAAAAATTAACAGTATCAGGTAACATAGTTTCG